AACCATGTTTACATTCACATGAAGAATTGTTCACATTTCATAGCAACATGGACAATGGTATAAAAATGACATTAAAATGGAAACATATTTTCCATAGGGGAACTCCCACTGTTGTAGTGGACTACTCATAAAGTGTTTAGTGGACATATGATGTGTTACTATATGGAATACTACATTAATTATCATAAGACACGTACCTTTGTTACCATCTTTCCCCATTCCTGCAAGTAAATTGCCTTCAAATCTCCCTTTCAAGAATGTGCCGCTAAGGAACAATAATGGGCGGATATGGTTAAATCCATTAATGCAAGCTTTGAATGATATGAAGAACCACTTAAATCGGCCGATTGACTGCTCGAAATCCAAGTTCACATAACTCCCAAGATTGTACTGCATAACTGCATCGGCGTACCACCTAAGTTAATTGAATGAAACATGATAATCACCATACACTTCGCCTCTTGCCTTCTCCACACCTAACCAGGCTATGTGGTAACTAACAATCAATCCATACTCTTGTTTGAGGTTAAACACAACGTTAGTGGGACATGTAAGCGGCTTGTCACGCACTCGATCACCAACAACATTGCAAACCAATTCAGAGTTGATTATACTATTCTTCTCAGTGCGAACAACAAAACCACAATTATGCAAGTTGTTAAACCTCATTCCCCACCTTAGCCTCGGGCATGAGCATTTGTATAATCTTGTTTTGCTAAGTTGCAGTATTGAATTTTCTTGACTTGTCTTAATTAGAATGAGATTTTTGTCTTGGTTTGTACTTATGTGAAATTTACTTGTTGAGTCTTGTTCTTTTCTGGTGAGTCTAGCCGAGGTCACCTTAAAGCCAAAACCACCTTGAAACCACTTTGGTCGACCTCTACCTTCGCCCTGGCATATTGGCTGAGATGTCATTTTTTAGGGCGAGGTGTATCATCAAGGCCGAGAGGTGTATCATCTAGGTCGAGATGTTATCTTTGAACCCAAGTGATCTTGTTCTGGATTGGTGCGACCTAGACCGAGGTGTGGCACATCTAGGCCGAGGTGTGGCACAGCTAGGCCAAGTGTTATCCGTCCTAGCCGGGATCATAGATACCTCACCTACCGGAGCCGATGTTTTCACCCGATGTCAGTACCTTGTCAGAGCGCCATGCCGCTTTACTTGTTAAACACCCTTTCGCCATACTTTGTCTGGTCTGTCAGCCACCTTTTCGGGGAGAACCAACTAGCCTTCGCCATGTGTCCGAGCTGAGTGTTAAATCAGCCGGTAGTGAGTAGAACCTATCATTTTGTATCATATCCTTGCCTTGTAGAGAGAGAAGCTCTAGGAAGAAGAAGAAGTTTTGGAATGAGAGAGTGGGCTTTCGAGCTTGATTCCTAGAGATCGAACCGTTAGATTCGTGCATTAAGGTTAGATTCTTGACCTACCCTTGTTGTTCTTGTTAATCATCGAGCTGCATTGCATGATCAAACCTGATTTGCAAGCCATGCATTGATTGAAAGTTTGGTTTTAGAAAGAGAAAGTAGTATTCATGTGTTCTTGAATAAAAGCCTTGTTTGATCCGAAAGTTTGCATTAAGATTCATGCTTATGTGTTTGTTTTCATAAGATCTTTGAGTATGGGTACCCAGGTCCATGTTTTTGAATTCATAGCATGAAATCTCAGCTTTTGTAATAGCAAGTTTTGATCTTTGCATAGGTCCATGTATTTGAATTCATAGCATGAAATCTCAGATTTTGTAATAGCAAATTTTGATCTTGCATTCATCTTCTTCATGTTCATGTTTTTCAAGAGAGGGAAACCCAGATTTTCCCGACTTCATTTCCTTGAGCGTGGCCACCGGGACCACACCTCGGCAAGAAGGTGTGGGACCTCGGCAATAGCTTGGTTGGTACCCAACATGTTTTTCTCGAGAGGAGAAATAGTGTTTTGTCTCGGTTCGACTTAGTTTTGAAGGAATGTCGAGATCATTTGCATCCATGAAAAGCTTGTTTGAAAGTGCATTCAATAGACTTTGCCATGTGTTTGTAGGACTTGGACTCTCGTTTGACCCTGACGTTGAAGAACTATGTTAGTGGTATTTTTAATAAAGTTATGTTATAACGTTTTGATAAAGCTTTGCCTTGTTTTGATAAAAGTATTTGTTAAGCATGAATGATATCCCTATTTTATGTACCAAGTATAAACTCTGTTTTGGATGGCAATGTATCAAGTAAGCTTTGTTTTGATGTCAATCTTTGAAAGTCCGTACGTGCCAGGGGACTTTAAGCATTTGTGGCACAAGTCCGTACGTGCTAGGGGACTATAAGCATTTGTAGCACAATCTTGAAAGTCCGTACATGCTAGGGGACTATAAGCATTTGTAGCACAACCTTTGTAAATGTCATCCCTTGAAACTTGGAAGCCTTGAAAGACTTTGATTGACGAAGCTTAATAGATTTGTTAGATGAACTTGATTTATCCCACGCTTTGTTATAAGCTATGATTATGTATTGTTTTGTTAAAGATCTCGGATGTCATACATGCAAACCCTTTATTACTTGTACCATTCACTGAGTATCCAAGCTCACCCTCTCTATATATATGTAGGTGATGAGCAAGAAGGCGGTGACGCCTAGGTGTGACTCGCAAGCTTGTTTTGGGTTTTGTTTATGTCGGCCTAACTTGTATTCATGTCGGCAGTCTTGAAAACTATGCTTCTCGGCTTTTAATGCTTGTAATTTACACATGTCGGCTGGAGAAGCCTTTTGATCAAGATGTAAAAATGTATTTTGTGCTTCATTTCTATTTGTATTCAAATTGTAAAGCTATGTAAAGATGTATGCCATTCCACTTGACTTATGCATCGCTCTTATGGACCACTTGTAATTTAGATTATTGCTTCCGCACTTGTGAGCCCTATATATTTATACTCTGATTGTGTGCGTGAATTTTGAAAGTTGGCCTTCAGTAATCTCAGATTACTGGCCATCACGACACCAAACTACTAGGGGCGGTTTGGGGTTGTGACACAAATACAACCGAACGTAACACACACAAGACATAACAACATTGCAGATGTGGGTTAACATTACAATCTAATTTTAACGTCATCGAAGGCTAATGAAAGTGTGCCAATGGATGGCTGTAACATTTTCCATAAACCAACAACATTTTCATATTCAATTAAAAAAAATAAAAACCCAGTAAGTTTGCGAAACATAATGTGACACATATGTAAACACTGAATACAACAACGTCACAACACAAATTCAAAGACAAATATAACCGAACGTAACACACACAAAACATAACAACATTCCAACATAACAACATTCCCAAATGTGGGCTAACATTACAACCTAAATGTAACGTCATTGGAGGCTAATGAAAGTGTGCTAATAGATGACTGTAACATTTTTCATAAACCAGCAACATTTTTACATTCAAATAAAAAATTAATAACCCAGTACTGTTGCAAAACGTAATGTGGCACGTATGTAAACACTGAATACAACAATGACACAACACAAATCTAAAGACAAATACAACTGAACGTAACACACACAAGACATAACGACATTGTAGATGTGGGTTAACATTACAACCTAAATGTAAAGTCATTGGAGGCTATTGAAAGTGTGCTAATGGATGGCTGTAACAGATTGTGAAAGGCATATCAGATAATATGATATTGAAAAAAGAACAATCGGCAAACACATAACAACAAAACCCTTCAATTGCAGAAGCAAAAACCTTACCTCCTTCCCTCAAACACTTGGAGTCCAAATCAGCAAAAGCAAGCAACACAACCCCCAACCTTGACGACATCATCACCCATATCTACATCCAAACCAGCAACATTATCAAAATCCACTGGAATTCGCGATCAATGCGACATTCAATCCCACGGATGAAGCCTACACAATCCACTTTCCTAGAAGTCTCCAAAAACTTAATAGGCTGAATGATAGAATAACCTATAATATGGAAACATATAAAGGGTATAATAGTACACTAATACCATTTAATTACAACTCATAGGACCTTGTGGAACACCTTCCTATCTAAATAGGACTTGAAACTCCATAAGAAACTACACAGGACTTTATATTAGATAAGTTCTCCTAATAGGACTTATAAATAATTTTCCCTATTTATTTTACATATAAGTATCGTAATACATGAATTAACTTTAAATCACATAATAATTTCTTAGATATTTTTCTATGCACATATTTTATCTTTTTTCATCTACTCTCAAAGAAAAATATTTATAAAATTAAGTGCTATGTTGTTCCCCTTAAGTGACGCATTACGCTTTTCTTCAAGTGTTTCGAAAAGTGAGCAAGGGGTGCCACATTGATGCTTGGGTGTAGTGAAAAATGGGCAAATGTTTTTGCGTTTTTCTAGACGAGCACAGATAAAGAAGCTAGTCCAAGATTATAGGTTTAGGATGGCCACATGGAATGTATGAACTTTAACTAGTAAGACTATGAAATTGGTATACAACAAAAGTAACCTATGGTGATGAAAACTAGTGAAGAAAATAAATTTTGTCACTAAACAAGAATAATTTGTGAGGAATTTATAAATTGTCACATTTAATAAAAAAATAAAAATAATAGGTGACAAAATTTATTTTTGTCAATAAATACTTCCTTTTAGGTGAGGAAAAATTAAGTTTTGTCACCAAAAATCTTCCCGCTAATTTTTTTGGGTGGCGCCAAAATTTTGGGACTTTTGGTGAGAAAAAAATTTGTCACTTATTATAAAATTATTTGTGAGGAATATATTTTCTCACAAATAAATTTTAATATTTTTGAGATCTTTTGGTAAGGAAATAATGTTGTCACCAATTTTGGTGCGAAAATTTTGATGTATTGAGCTGCAATTAAAAAAAAAAATAGGGTATTAATTTTTTTTTACCCATTTTCTGTTTATCATATATCTCTCTCTCAAAATAGGGTATTAATTTTTGTTTTGCCTCTTTTCTTCTCTCTCTCTCTCTCTCAAAACACATGCACGTAATACCTCTCCGCTATTGCTCTTTGCTCTCGCTACTCCACCTTCAACGCCTACACTGCCATCGGCCCTTCTTGTATAAACAGGGCTCTACTCTTTGCATCAAACCCAGGTTCTTTTTTCTCTATTATTTTCTTGTATTGCATCGATTTGTATCTTGGGTTGGTAATAAAGATACAATTACTCTGTATTGGTATGACAAAAATCACCGCCATATGAATGCGTACGAGTGGGAAACTGGGAATTTATTATCCGGGAAGCTCAAAGGGTTTGGGACAGCAGGGAGGATGATGGGGGATTTTCGGGTACTAATAGACAATTATTTGTTTCATTTGAGTGGTAAATTGTTTTGTTTGGTTTGGAATGAAGAGCTTAGTAGTATTGTACATTGCTCCAAATTTGTAGTTGATGAATCATGCTATTCCCATGACAATTGCAATGGGTCTCTTTGTGCTTGGTTTCTCTCTTCTCAATATTATTATCTTGGTCCCAACACAACTCTTTATGATGCTGCAATTATGTAAGTTTCTGGGTTTCTCTTCTCTGCTGATAAATGCTTATTTTCCTTGACCCTTCTTCACCCATTTTGTCATTATTTGATTCTGAATTTGAGTAGAAAACTTGATTTGATATGAATTACTCAATTTTTTTTTTAAAACAAATTTTCATCAAAATCTTTTTTAAAAAATTCCGTTCTTAACTCAAATTTCACTTTCCATCAAATTTGATGGAGAAAAAAAAAAAAACATTTCCAATTGTTCATCAGTTTTTTAAATTTTCATCAAATTTGAATTTGATAAAAGATTTTGATGAGTTTTCGAGTTGATGAAAGCATTGGAGATAGTTTTCAGGACATTTTCATCAAATTTGATGCAAGAAAATGTGAAGGATTGAAGAAGCTCTTATATGTGTATTAGTCTAAGTGAGAGCATCTCCAACATTTCACTAATTTTGTCAGCTAATTTAATTTTAAATTTGAATAAAAAAATTTGCTTTGATATAAACTATTACAATCATTTCATAATTTTTTTTAAAAAAAAATTCATCTTTTATTCCAAATATTTCTTTTCATCAAATTTGATTAGAAAAAAAAAAATTTATTTCCAATGCTTCATCTTTTTAAATTTTCATCAAATTTGAATTTGATAAAAGATTTGACGAGTTCTCAATTTGATAGAAAAAAACTCCCTTGATTGGATAAAAGGGTTGAAGATAATTTTAAATAATTTTTCATCAAATTCAGGAATAAAAAGTCTCTATTTGATTCTGCTGGAAAGGTGTGACCACATCAAGAAAATAGCTCGTGTGGAACTCCTTAACTGTGTTGGTAGGGAAGCTGAGAAGACCATGGTAAGTAAAGCAAAATTACCATGTTTGTGTAAGGTTGAGTTGTTAGTTATTCCTTTGTGCTCTAGCTTGTAATTGATCTATCTGCGCAACCCCCAAAACAAGAAAAAACTTATTTCTGTACATTATTTGGTATGTGCTTTGTTATTTCTTAATATTTGGTCTTTCTATAGATAAATCCATATTCTAATTGACATGTAATGTTTCCCCCTTCTCAGGAACAAATCGGTTTCATTTTTTTTTTGGCTTGTCGAAATTGACATTCCATTTCTTATCATTCTTTTTATCAGTAAAAAAGAGATTCATTGATGCAATATAAAAGTACAAGGTGTATAGACAAATTACATCAAGAAGACACAAAAAGCCAAGACGAAAAGTATCGTAACTTAAATATCATACCCTAGCTGGATTGAAACATTAATTAAAGCCAAACAAATGCAAAGTCAAAGGCCAACAAGAAGAAATCAAGAACACACTAAAAATTAAGAATCTAACAGAGGAATCCAAACACTTCCTTTCTTAGCATTTGAAGCTTATCAGCTATTTCATGGTAATTGCACTGTACAGTCTATACTTATTTGGTTTTTCCATAGTAAGCTTTTGATTTTTTGCACTCTAATTGTTTGGTCACAAAGAGAATTGAGAGTAGTTTTGAAATCAGTATTGCCTGTCAAAAAAAGAATTAAGAGGTGATTGTATTAGCTTCTTTATCTAATTTCATTGGTTTGAAGTTTGTACAAGTTAGTTTGGTTCGAGTACTTATTGTGAGCTAGGTCAACTAAGCCTTAATTTTTTAATGCCTGCATGTATTTTGTCTGTGATTCAATTTTATTAATCTTTGTATAATGTTGAATTTGTTTTAATTTAATGGTCACTTAATGTTAGCATGTTCAACTGAGGGTATGGATTGAATATAAGTTGGTGTGGCTTCTAGTGTGACATAGTTTGTGATGCAGAGTGTTTGGCTATAAAAGTTTTGAAACTCATGAACAAACAAGGTAAAGGCAAAAGACACAAGTAGAGGTAAAACAACTCGTGCTTGGAATTATGTGAAATTCAGTCGAGACATGGAAAATGCCATGGCAACCAGTACGCATCGCTTTGCCATGGCCTACAATGGATTACAGTCAAATTCCAATATTTAAGCCTTTATTTTCATGATCTTGCCGTTTTGGGAAATATTTGATTCGTCTATAACTTGGTGTAGACAAATCCAATTGGAGCTAGATTTTTCTCAGTATATGTATTTTTAGTTTCCAGATTTGAGCTTAACTCGAATATTTCTATTTTTGGTAATTTTTTGTACTTTCTTTGATTTAGTCTTGTTTAGCAAGTATTCTCTTTTTTGATTTATTTTTCAATTTAATTAGAACTTCGTTTTAGTATAAATAATGGTACAAGTCTTAGGGAAATTCACTTTTGATATAATATGTAGAAAATTCTCTTCTTTTCCTTATAATTCTGGTAATATTTAGATTCAACATATTGTAGAAATGTTGCAACTTCCTTTGTTGTGCGATTCTACTACGGTTCACGTTGTATGCTGTGTGAATTTGATTTTTTGGGTGTGGCCACATTACTGATTAGGAGTATTGTTCTTTTTCCAAATCCATTTGACTGTCACTCAGGGATGTTGTTGTAGACACCTTAGTCTTAGTGGGTTACTGGTTCCCTCCACATTTAGGTAAAATGTTGCTGTGTTCATGCTTGTCATGTTGTTTATTTTTTTGAGTTCTTTGTAAAATGTTATGTCTAAATATTAATATGAGCCCTATATATGGTTAAGTGCTTCTAACCTTGGCAAATAATTGATATTTTCCTTGTTTGATGGGTAGGGAGAGCAAATAATCCAGCAGTGGGCTTGGCTCCTGATTCTTTATTAATATTGTACTGATTTAATTTTCAGTTAACTTGTTTGATTTAATTTAAGCATTATGATTTATTTCTTGTCTTATATAAGGCCTAAATGGGAAATAATATTATCATTGGGTTTAGAAAATAGATTTATATATTATTTTTCTTAATTAATATTATAATTGTCCAAGAAAAGGAGTTTGCTTTTCCTAATTTATAGATTGGGTAACACAACCATCAAAACTAGGGGTGGTCACGGGTTGGTTTTGGTTGGTTCGGGTTGTAGGTTGGACCCATCGGCAACTGTAACACCCTCAAATTATAATAATAAATAATCTCATTACCCATCAACAAATATACGGATACTCATCATATTAATTCATTCATTAAGACAATTTTAGCAAAATATTCTGTATTTCATTAATTCCTTTAATATAGTACAAAGATGACATCACATGTATTAATACATTCATTAACCCGAAGCTATGAATAAATATCATATAGCATGTGACGGATATACATAGAACGTTTGCACGCATAGTTTGAGAGTTAGACCAGAAAACGCCTTGAACTTAGTCGAAAAAGGACTTTCAGGGGGGCGAAACCCTCTTTCATTAACACCACAACCAATTATTTTAATCTTCTAATAGTTTTCCTTTTCCCTTTAGAAGTTTATTCACTTATTAACATTGGTTGTGTGAAGTATTTTGTATCGAACACATATGTTTGTGTAATTGGGATCTCCACCACAATTATTTATATACTATTAGATTGTAATCATATGATGTTCTTTGCTAGATTATTTTATTTTTATGTTTTGTTTTGTTTTTCTTTGTGGTTATTTAAGTAGTTATGAGAAATAATTATTTTGTGAACAAGTAATTTCATTTTTGAGATTGGTTTTAAAGAATATGGTTTCATTTGGGATGTGCTGGCCTGAAATGTAATATTAAAGCGAAAGAATTAGTAATTCTATGTTTGTCATGCTGTAGAAAATTGAAGATCATGATTCAAATTAGTCTTAGGAAGTTAAGCTTTTAAGTATGTCTGTGATAATCCTGGTCCGTATTATGCTAAATAATCTTAATTATGGTTGTGATTATGTGTTTAATATGATTTTGAGTGCCATTTATATGAATATATGTGGTTTTGAATTTCTATCTATTCACCGTAGGAAAATCTGTTTGATTATCTGCTTTAGAACTTAAATTGAAGGCCCTATTGGCCACAAAACTCGAAATTGATTACGCCATTGTGATTAGCATAATTTTTAGAGCCTACGGTAAAATTTAATTGAAAATTGATTCGGATCAGATTAAATAGATTAAATTGATGAAATAGTGCTCAATTAATTAGTGTTAATGAAATGTGATTAAAGGAGCTTATGTAAAGGGCCAATTTACACTCTCATTCATTTGTTTTGAGCTCAAATCAGATTTTGCTCTCTAGAGAGAGAGAGAACTGAACTTAAAGAGAGAGAGAGGGAGCTCAAATTGAAGATCGAACTAAAGGCTTGAGAATTGGAGGTTAAACTCAAAGAATTAGCTAGAATTTGGGTGTTTGAAGCTCCTAGGTGAGTGGATTCATAAGTTTGAGTTTGTAATTTTGTAAATTCAAGGTTTAATTGTGATCAAGAACATAACCTGAATTGAATTTGTTGAATTTGGAGCTTGTATGAACATGCATGTGCATAATTGTTATAATTTCGTATGTTCAAGCATGAATTATGTTGAACAAGAAGAATTGAGCATCAAATCTCTCATGCATGCATAATTCTCATGAGTTTCATGATTATAAGTGTCATTTGTACCAATTAAAATAGAATTGGAGTCAAGAATGTGCATGCATGCATGATTGATGAAGATATGGAGTTTGTATGAAATTAAATTTATGTGTCTTGGAACCCATGAAGGGAACTCAAAATAATTTTGGAAAAAGGACCATGCATTTGAACAATTTGGTCACATATTCTCAAACTCTCATATTATACAATGTGTTTCCATGTTTTTGAGCCAAAATCATGAGTTTAAAGCCTTTGAATGTTGAGTTGAACATCAAGAACAATTCTAGAAATTCCAGAATTTGGCATGTTCGCTCGAGCGGGGAAAGCGCTGCTCGAGCATGAAATGCGAGCTCCCAGAACTTTTGCAGACATTGATGTCCGCTCGAGCGGGGAGCCACGTAGTGTGACCTTCAGCTCGAGCGCCTGAATTCACGCTTGAGTGTAAAAATGAGGCAACCAGTATTTTTGCAGACCCACGGGGTCCGTTCGAGCGGCGGAACCCACGCTCGAGCGGGGACCCCTGTTTCAGAAAATTTGTAAAGGTGTTCTGTGTTTCATTTTCCGTTCTCTTTCACTTCTAAGTACTCTTAGGCATGCATTGAGCGTTATGAAGAATTAAAAGAATAAGAAAGAAGCCTAAGAGGGATGTATGAATTAAGAACGGATTGAATCAATTATGACCCATATGTGTTATGTAATGTGTAGGGTCGAGCTCCAGGGAAAATGCACCGGCAGAACACAGTGAGTAATATCTTAGTAAAGATATTTGAAGTATGTTATTTGTCCAATTGCTTATTTCCATATCAGTCTTATAAGTTTGTTAAACAGAATTGTGGACAAATATTTGTTATGCCGAATGATTGGGCCAAAGGCCGTTGGACACCATTTGACATGAATGATTGGGCCAAAGGCCGTCGGACACCGTTTGATATGAATGATTGGGCCAAAGGCCGTTTGACATGGATGATTGGGCTTGAGGCCGTTTGTTAAGGAACGAAGTGGGCCAGAGGCCGTTCGATATGTTCGGGCTTGAATCACCTAATGTACTAAATAATGCACTAAATAGAATTCTAAATGGGCCTAAGTTCGTTTAATATATGTGAATCTCATTCGTGTACCTTCTTTATTTGATATTATTCACTGGGTTTTTGCTCACGCTCATTCATGTGTGTGTAGGTGAGCCAAGGGATGTCCAAACCCAGCCTCGGTGAAATATGTGAGAAACAGTCAAGGTTTTGAAGAGTCAGCCCAAACGTCTCACGCACGAGACTTGTCTTCGCCTTTTTTGTTCTTTTGATATAGTTTTGTTATACTGGCGAAAACATTGGATTACTTTTGCATATAAACTTTGGGTTTGACTGACTTAGACTTGAATGATCCTATATGTACAGAACTTTGTGTTATTATTCCTTTGATGTGAGTTATTAACATGTATATATACGGATTGTTATGATGTGCCATGTAAGCACAGCTCTATGGACAAAAGTTTTA